TTTTGATTTCAGCAAACAAATCAGTTCGAACACACACAACCTGATTAATATTCATGTATCCAGCAGCTCGTTAATCCTTAGAGCATTTTATATTGTTCTTATTAGTAGAATTCGTATCATTAACTTATCAGTATTTTTGTTAGTTTTTTCCCCAATCTTTTTTTTTTTTTACAGAAACACTGAATGACCAAAAAGCACCACCACCAGTCAGTTCAGTTAAAAACTGTTGTATAAACGCAATATCACTCTCGTACTCGAGCGATACCGGCTCTATATCAGCGGCTGTGATTGCCTCTGGCCTAATCACACAGCCGCTGATATAGAGCCGGTATCGCTCGAGTACGAGAGTGATATTGCGTTTATACAACAGTTCAACGGCACATGTGTGTAATTAAACAAGAAACAACGGAGTGCCTCATAAAACCCTCTTTTGTGCGGAACTACTTCCTTCCGCCACGGATTCAAAGCTCAAGCTGACAGTTAAACATACGTCACTTTTAGAATTCGTATCAAGGGCATGTGCTGCTTCAGTTTGAAAGGGCGTTCCTGTAGCGATACCAGTACAATATCTCACGGTTCTCAACCAATCAGATTTGAGAACCAGAACGAACTGTTGTATAAATATTAACAAGCCGCTTTATGTGCAATCGAAATATATGCATTCAATAATGCTAATTATGCTGGTTTGTTTTAAAACTATAAACAATATATACACATACAGTGTGTATTGAAACTGGTTTATGTATAAATACACAAATCGTCATCCAAAATCAGAATCTGATCGTCCGAAACTGGAGTTTGCTGATACTTCAATAATGTATTTAAAGAACGGCAATGAACAGATTATTGTGTTATTACTAGAAAAACCTATATATTGAACATGTTATAGACTATATTGTTCTTAGTCTTTCCTTCTTTTTCCATAGAGCTGGCATGTGCAAGTTTGGTGACGATCTGACAAATGGCCCAGGAGGAGTTCAGAAAAAGAGGGGTTTTTAACAAGTTAGAATGGAAGATAAAGTTTATTAATTACTCTTGTCTGGGCTTAAAGCAAGGATTCAGAAAAACTCACATATGGTTGCTGAATTATTAGCTAACATGTAAAGTTGCTAATTATAGTGACACCTTGTATCTGGTATGCATTTTATCCATTTTTTAAATGGTAGGCTATTCAGATTCAATGTTATTAACTGCTGAATTTTGATTGGTCAAGTTCAATTACAGTGCATCTGGAAAGTTTTACAGCGCTTCACTTTTTCCACATTTTGTTATGTTACAGCCTTATTCCAAAATGAATTAAATAGATTATTTTCCTCAGACATCATGCATGTTTACCTCTTCTCCAGGCAGACACGCGCAGCTGGGCTGGGTCTCCCCTCCAGGGGCCGTTCATCGGCCCTCTCTTCGACGACACACTGGACTCTGCTCAGCACTGAGCCTGGCACCTCAGCGCTGCTGGCAGGCGTGGTGTTCGACTCGCTCAGCAACAGCATCTTGATGTCCTGCAGGTCCACCGGCCCCGCTGATGTCCCCTCCGGCCTGCACACTAAGGGGCTCTGAGGCGAGCAGGCCAGACGCCTCTCTGGCTCGTCATACAAGCTTTCTTCAAGCTGTGAAAGGCCCGAGCTGTCCGTCTCGGTCACCTGAGCATCAATGTGGCTCTGAATAATGTGCTGCAAGTACTCTACCTCCGTCATCTCCACCAGGCTGAGCTCTGAGCTTTGGCCCACAGGCTCATAGACATCTGCTGCATGTTGACTCTTACAGGCCATCGATGTGCTCATCCTGAAAGACATTTCAAACCATACTTCAGTCCAATTTGCTATAAAAACAGATCTCTCTGCATTTGTGTCGTATCCTGTTTAACTCAAAATATGGAACATTAGTGGCAAAGTAAAAGGAGCTGTGGAGTGCATGTTAATTTTAAGTGGATACCTAACTCTGTAAAGTAGATGTAATACGACAGACATGAATATAACTTTCAGCGTATGACATCAGCTAAAATTACAAAAAAATGCCGTAATTACTACAGAAAAACTATGGGAACATGGGATTTTTAGCCACTCTAAAAAAAATCCATCCATTCTCCAAAAATCACAACAAAACATTAAACAAAAAGACATTCTTTCCTGATTTGCTATATTTTACAGAAGTAACAATTAATAATAGTAAACAATATACCCATTTTCTTAAAATCAAACGAGAAATTTATAATACTATTTTTAGCCAAAACACTTCTTATAACTATGGTTTGTTAAAGCAGCAGTCCGTAAGTTTTGCCTCTTTGTCGCCATCTCTGTTTGAAAACCTGCAATTGCAGCAGTGTGCGGAATTATCTGTGTGGGTTGTGCAGCGGCGCAGAAATTGAAATTTCTTTTCAATTCAATTCAAATAAATTTGAATTTCAATTAAAAAAAAAGAAATAGAAATTGACTCCAGCGCGGATGAATCTAATGTTTTGAGGAGTATGTGTGGCGGTCAGTCACCGCACTGGTGTGGATATTTACTGTACTTCACAATCACAGATTCTAGCCTATGTCTTGGAATATATGACTCAAATAAGCATGTTCACCGGATATTGTCATCTGAACGAGTAAGTAACAAGTCTGCCACGTTTGTTCTGACCACCTGAGGAAAAAAGCATTACAATAAATCGCGCTACCAATGGTGATTTAATCTAATTAATCTAAATTAATTCTAAATTAATTTAAACCGTGCAAATTATTATTATAATTTATTCTCAAATTGTTAATGTTAACATCAGCATTGCGTGAGTATGGTGTGTATAAGCCAAAAAAGCTAATTATGCTCCCTTCGAACTGGTTTTCTTTCAAATACAGATCTTGTGTAATCCCAGGCTATCTGTAATCAGAAGCACATTTAAAACTAGAATATAATTTAATTAAATTCACATGTGTTTCATAAACACATAACACTTTCTGGATTACAAGCTGCCATCAAAAAGATACATTTAATTATTCTGGCTGCTGTGAGAAAAGGCTATAAACGATCCGTCACCTGCAGGATCCTCACATGTGATAGCCTAGCAGCCGGGACACTTCTTTATGTTTACAGACGTGACGTAATGACGCAGATAATCGTTGATAAATTATGCAAATGTGTCTTGCAAACTGCTATGGCAGGAGCAGCAAGGTCATTCCCTGACACAAACAGCTGAAACATCCTGAGGTGACAGATAATAACCCAACTCCCGCGTTTTTTCTGCGTCCCCCTCACACCCCGGACCTAACGACCGACTCGATCACTGCCATTAATAACAGTATTAATGATGGAAATTATGTCTCCAGAACATGAGACAAACGTAGATCGTAAAATCAACAGTGAGGCACGGAGTTAAAACGGTAAGTGATTAAAGGCTTACCTGACACACAACTGCTCGGAAACTGAACACGATAGACCTTCGTGCGCTGCTTGCGTCGTTAGTGACGTCACACCCCTTCGTCGTTTTACTTTTCGTGTTTTGTTTTTTTTTGGTAAGTATCACATTAAGACCATAGTTAAAATCCCAATGATGCAATCTGTTTCAGGACTGCAACCTGTATTTTTTATTTTTTTTTTTTGGACTGCAACCTGTATATCAAACCGGCAAGTAGTGATATGCCTCCTGTATTTACGGCATCATCCGTAATATGAAAGCCATTCGAAACCTAGTTTGTCCCGCATACGCCGTATGACCACAATAACCAACTCCAACTGACTGCGGCACATCAGGGCGAGTGCAAATAATTCCGTGATTATATTTATATTGTTCATGAGTCCATCATCCAGACACACAAGAAGAACATGCAATCTACCCGTGGGAACGCGTTTTTCACTATTGTAAGTTAATGATGTTAGAGAGAGAGAGAGAGAGAGAGAGCATTTTTCATTAATAATTTTGAGACGAAACTTATGTCTACATGTCATGGGCTAATTTAGTTTAAAGTTGTCCGTGGAAACTCTTGATTTAAAATGAGGATATGGTGTCACTGCTGACCTATAACAGATCAGTGATGTGTCCTAAATTTAAATCAAGAAATTCCAGGACATCTTTAATTAGTTGAAGGACCCCATGCAAGGTCATGTTACTGAAGTTTTTGTCTCACAATTGTTCAAATATTTAACTTTTTTTGCAACCTGTGGTAAGTTTTATTTTTTTTAACTTTAAAAAAAAAAAACATTTTTTGAACTAAGAACTGTAAACTACATAATCGTTGATAAATTATGCAAATGTGTTTTGCAAACTGCTATGGCAGGAGCAGCAAGGTCATTCCCTGACACAAACAGCTGAAACATCCTGAGGTGACAGATAATACCCAGCGGTCAAGGACAAGGTCTCTTTAACACTAGAACTACCAAGCCAGTCATTTTGACCGTTTTTAAATTTTGTTTAACTTTGTTCAAATAAAACCCATATATACCCCGACTTTTCCTAAATGTGTGTATATTTTATTATAACATTGATATATTATTAAAATTACAAAATACAAAAGACTTCACAAAAGTTTCTACCTTGAATGGCCAAGCGGTCCGCGTTACAGACGGCCTATAATTTCTCCCGCGGTTAAAGATGCACGTCACTGTTACCTGCACTGTAACATCTAATTAGCTGGGCTTACTTAAAAAAAGCATGCAAACCGATTGCCTTAAAACGAAGTAAAGTGAAATAGGAATAATATGTTGTACTGGCAAATGCTTAGTTGGTACACAGTAAAATCCCGAGTGTTAAATGAACACTGCTCGGAGCATATATGGTCCCACTCTAAAAGAGTGTTAAAGTAACACTGAAGCAGTGTTAAAGTAATGAGATAATTCTGTGATTAATTAAGTGCTGATTGAGCATTAGTGATGAACAGCTGCCGGCCGACTGACCAGGTACATTCTCATTCATTTAGTTCACGAACGAGATATGTACCAGTTCAGTCAACTCGTTTACGAACCAGAAGATCTCTCTCGTTCAGACTCAAAAGAAACTCGTTCAGTGAAGGGCGTATTCGTTCACTACATTCAACAAATCACATGGTCCGTCACATCTCATACTCGAAGGCTATTGGCTCGCGGGTTAGCCCGAGGTTTAGTCATTCTTTGACAGGATGAAACAGTCCACAGAGCGACCCGGTTCACTGATCTGCGCATGCGCTGCTGTGGAGGGAGGAATTTCAGTGAACGAGAAATATGAGTCAATGGATTACGTGAACGAGAACGATTCGTTCACCTAAAAGATTCGTTCAAAAAGAACGATTCGTTCTTTTTTAACAACACTAATGACAAACAAAATTAGAAAAAGCTTTTTAATAAATACATATAGCAAAATTCACTAATGCTTTAATTAGATGATAGATCACCATCTAAACACAACCTACTTATTACTTTTCTTCCCTTGCAATCAAAAAAATTCTAACTTCATTATGCACTGCTGTATTAACAGGAAGAAATTCATAGTAACATATATTAAGTTCCAAGTGCCCAACCAAAGGGAACACTAATCACTAAAATGGTGAGTAAAAAAAAAAACACATTTTAGGAAAATCTACATCAATTTATGAAGTTAGCTTATGTGATGTTCTCTCAAATATTTCAGTTGTATTGAGAATTCAACATTCAAGATGACTTTGGGTGCTTTATTAATGTCATTGGTTCCTTTGTGGCTACTTGAATATTTTAAGTGTCACTCAAAACAGTAAGTAAATTGTTTTATTTGCCTTGAAAGTAGCTGTAACTTAATAAAACCTAGTAAGTATTACAACTAAGTAAAGATAACTAATTAAATCTACGTAAGGTAAACTATTGGATTTTACAGTGTAGTTTATGAGGTAATCACCCTAAAAATAAGATTTGTTTTTTTGTAATATTTATTTGTGTAAGAGCTACGTAGACCGCTCCCGAATGTGCATGCCTCGCTTTGTGTCCGGCAAGCGGGAGAGCAAAAGTTTTTCACCGCAGTGAAAATGTTGTATTTGAAAGTCTAAATGCCAACAAATATGAACGGAAGCAGAATATTTCTGTAGATAAAGCATACATCTTTTTTTCAATACATTTTTACTTTTGAACTTTACAACGCTCTGGACTTATTGGAAATGTTTGGATCACACGAATCGGAAACAATTCTATGCAGCCACCACTGGAATCCTGATCCATGAATAAATGGATCTGTTATGATAATAATAAACATCGTCACTGCCGCTAAAAAAAGCCTAAGTTTGTTTTATTTCACAATATCAGTCTTGTCGGGGCTAAAATTAGCTATGCATTAGCTATAACATTACACTAGCATAAAAATAATAATAGCCATAATTATTATTATTATTATTATGGCTATTTTGTCATATGAAAGGTCAGAATAACCGCTATGGCCATTCTAGTTATAGAATTCCAGTAGTTCTAGTGTTAAGAAGCATTTTAAATAAATAAATAAGATTTGTTTAACTCCTTTTTATTCTTTTTTGAACATTTTCAGTGTTCTTAAATGCAATAATTACATTAATTAAAATATTTTCTGATGTTTTTGCAAAAAAACTGTAGGCTACTGTTATAAAGTGTCATGAAAATAAGTATAAAATGCGATACTTTGTTTTTGAGACAGAAAGAATTGAGGGAGAGAAATGAGTTGGAGAGGACACGGAAATATCAGAGAAAATTAACAGAGATCCACGCAGAAGGGAGCAGATCCTATATGATGCAGAAAGTAAACAGAATCAAAATGATGCCTTAAAAAGAGCAGCCATATAATTAAAAAAAAATTGTTTTTATCTCAAAATATCTTAAAGAACAGTTGAGTATTGCAGTAGGGGAGATATAATCATCATTCATCAACTTTTTCAGCAATTTTGAAAGGACATCAAAGTTTGTCTTGAAAATGTCCAACATGCTATTTGTATATTAAGAGTTTTTTCCCCTTAATTTGTGCTATATCACACCATAGGTCACAAATATCACAAATTTACAGTACAGTTCAGTAAAAAAATAAAAATAAAAAAGTGAAAGTGACACTTTTTCAATTCAATAAACTACGCACTTATGCATTATGAACCATGTTTTATAAGGCTATTTTTTCAACTGATATTTTGTCAACATTTAACATGTAAGTCTGGTGCTACTCCCCCTCTACATATGTAATTAAAGCTGTGACATCATCAGGGCATTTAAAGTGCAGTTTTTCCGTTTTGGAATTTACAGTGTGAACAGTACTTGTCAGCGCCAGAAGACCTGACCTAAAACAGTTACCTCCGTGTTCTCCCCTCCGTTTGTTTTCTTGTTTTTCGTTCAGTGTTTTTTGTTTCCCGTTGTTCCCTCATGGATGCCCTCCTTCGCCCCGGAATTTCTCCTCCTCCTGCTGGAGCAGGGGGAGAGTTCGCTCGAGGACCATACGAGATACGTTCCAGCTGCTAGCAAGCACCACCAGCTACCCGGACGACGCGCTCTGTGCGTTCTACAACGCCAGTCTAAACATCGAGTGCAGAACGCCGTCGTCCGAAGATGGTCCTCGAGCGGATTTCACCGCCTTTGTGGAGTGGATACTGGCGAGAAACACATCCCCGCTCACCGTCAGTACCACTCCCGACCCAGAGCCCATCTCCCCGCGGTGCGGAGCATCAGCCCGAGCCCACCGTTGACGGAGAGCCATTTCCCGCCGCGATCAGCGAGCCAGCGCAAAGCTGAGCGACTGAGCAGAGGATCACCCCGGACGTAGAGCTGAACCCGTCAGACCAGGTGCGACAATGCCCGCCACGAGGGAGAAGGCCGCGGACGGTGTGAGCGCGGAGAGGAGCTCTGCCCTGCACCGCGGCTGAGGGTGAGCTGAGTATGGCGCGGCGAATGTGCCACACCAAGGAGGAGAGGGCTCCTGTCCCCGAATCCAGTCCAGAGCGCCCTCCAGTGCCCGCTCCTCCAGAGCGCCTCAGTCGCTCCGGCTCCGCTGCGGATCTCCACCTCCGCCTCCGCCTTGGTCACCAGTGCCCTCGGCTCCACCCTGGCCCCCCGGATCCTCGGCATCCCCCTGGCTCGTTGGCTCTCCGTCTCCGCCTCAGGCTCCTCCGCCACCTGCTCCGCCGTTGGTCTGCGCCCTGGAGTCGGTGGCCATTCCTACTCCATGGCTCCTCCCTCCGTCGACTCCACCGTGGGTCGACATTATGGCTGTGGCCTGGGTCCAGCTGGGCTCCTCCTGCTCCAAGCCCCTCCTGTCTCCTCCCTGGCTCCTCCCTCCTTCGTCACCTCCCTGGTCTCTGTCTGCCGGCCCCCTCCCGGGTGTCCGTCCTCCTTTGGAACCTCCTCCCAAGTTTCTACCCGCCCCTCCCCATGTAGTTTCGACGGCGCGAGGACGCGCCTTCCAAGGGGGGATGTAATGTCAGGATTCTGGACTGTTCTATGTCGTGTTTTGCCCGTTTCTGTTCCTTTTTTTCCCTATTTGGTCATGTTCCTCTCCTCGTTTAGTTTGATTAGTCATCCCATGCACCTGTGTTTCCCCAATCATCCCCTGTATTTAAGTCCCAGTCTGTGCAGTCTGTTTCTGTCAGGTCTACGTGTTTCTACGTGTGTTTGCCCAGCTCCTATTGTGGATTATCTCCTGAGTTTCCTTGATTAAAGACAGTTCTCGTTTACTCGTGCCTCCTGCGTGCTTCCTCAACAGCGTA